CTTGCTCCATCTGCATGGTTACACGAGAAAATCTTCGAGACGTGGATGACGAGATCGTTCCTCGAACCGTGACAAATCAGAAAGCCGTGTACAAGCTAATGGAGGAAGCGGAAACCAAGAAGGAATTGACCCGTCTGAAGAAGAAGTATTCTACCCACTTCGTGAAGGTATCACTTCTTGTCCGTTTTCGTTGGTTTGACGCGGTGGTCCCGGAGTCCCACCCCTATATCCTCCCACCGCACTTGTGTCTAAAATGAATTATCCCGCCCCCACTGCCCATTTGTCAACCCCACGCTCAAAACACCCATGCCTCCACATCAACTCACGTCGCCACCTCCTCGTCGTGTTGGAGGTGGACACCTCGCCATGTTCCACCCTTGGACAGGCACGCACCCACACCTCACATGATCCCGCCCTCGTTCAGCAAATCCCTAAACCCCCACCCTATCCTTGCTGTCCGTACAGTCCACACACATACCCTCCCCATACCCCGCCCATCCTAGTTCTTGGCACACAATCCCACCCTGGTCGTTCTTTTCCCTATTCTTCATCCAAATTTCCAAAGGGGCCAACTTTCCCATTCCGCGTGCCTCCCCTTGCGGCCACTCATTGCTGTGGGATTGGGAGTTCTCCAATACCAAGTGGGGCAACACGTACCTCGCCCAAACACCTGACATCATGCACATCATCGAGGCAGGGCTTTGGCTTCATGCAATGAGGTGCCTCGTGAAGAAGTTGAAACCGTCAGAGCGAAAAATACTTCTCGAGTAAGGTTCCCTTTTCCCCCGGTGGGGCGAGAGTCATACGTGCAAGAGAAAGAGGCATCGAGGGGGAACCAGAGGGATTGAGAGGGGAAGAGGGGCAGCGAGGGGGGAGGTTGCACTAAGAGAGACGGAGAGAGGGGCAGAGTGTTGCAAGAAGTTGGGCAGAGAGGGGGAATTCGGGGCAGAGAGATGGAAGGAGGGGCAGCCGGAGGGAGGGTATGGCGGTGGTGTGGAAGGAGGGGCAGGGATGAGTGAATGCAGGGCACAGAGAAGGGGGGAGAATGATGGAATTTGTAGCAGCGTTGGAGGAATGCGGGGTGGAGAGAGGGGGAAGTGGTGCAGAAAGAGGGAATTTGGGACAGAGACGTTGAGGGAGGGGCACCTAACTACTAGACCACCCCGCCAGCGGGGAGATGAGGTGCGATTTGATGCACCTAACTACTAGACCACCCCGCCAGCCCCACCCCTCTCCCGGCCCCCTCCCTAACCCACCCCACCGGCCCCACACAAACCCTAAACCGATACCCTTACTGCATCCCGTACATGCAGACGCTACAAGATTCTCAAGGCAGTGACTCCTGCGTCTTTGCTGAGACTCCCATCCGCATGGGCGTACTTCACCACGACGGCCTGCTTCTCAGCGTCGGAGCATCGTGCCATGATGCAAGTGCTGCCCCTCATCATCGACCTCCCCAAGCGCGCCGATATTCGACATGCCATCACGCTCATGTCGGACTGGTACAAGGAGTTTATCCGGGCTGAGTATCACACCGATGCCACGCTTGAGCGCATGGAGGAGGTCTCCTGCGAGTAAGTCTAGCATGAATGGGTGTGGGTGCCATGCGCATAGGGAACGAGGGACAGTGAGATGGCTGAAGGGGTCGAGGGAGGGATTAAGCGGCAGTGTGTGGGAAATAGGGTGCAGATAACGGGGGAAAAAGGGAAAGGATAAGGAAAGGGGGGAAAAGCGAGGGAAAGAGGGGATGAGGGAGGGAAAGAGGGGACGAGGGGGGGAAAGAGGGGACGAGGGAGGGAAAGAGGGGACGAAGGAGGGAAAGAGGGGAGGGGGGGGAGGGAACGATGGGCTGTGGACTGTTCCGCATGCGCTGAAAAAGGGAAGGAGGGGCATAATGACGAGAGGAGGGGCTTAGATTGGGGGAATGGAGTGGCAGAAACATGGAAGCTGAGTTGTGAGTGGGTGGGGGGGGGGGGGGGGGAGATGAGAAGAGGGGGGAGGGTTTGAGAGAGGGTAGTAGTACATGAACCCGGGTATTGGGCATTGTCTGTTGTTTGTGGCTGAATTGTTGTTTATATGCTTACGCACGCTAAACCGATCCCCAACACCCAATGCCCCAATCCCGAACCTTTCAATCCACCCAAACACGTCCTATCCAGGATGGTCGATGCGCTTATTCTAGCATTCGACAACCAGAAGTCGAAGTGGCTTATTATCAAGGTGCATCTTGTATTGCACCTCCCGCCGACGATCCGTGCACGGGGATTGCCACAGGAGTACTCGTCGAACCGGTACGAGCAGTCCCACAAGACAACAGTGAAGCGCCCTTCTCGCGGCACCAACTGGAAGGGTGTGGAGGATCGCATTGTGAAGAAGCATATCGAGCAAGCCGTTGTTCGACAGCTGTCTCGAGCCTCCGGCGGGGACAAAACATACGAGACAGCCATGAAGGAGGTGAGCCTGTGTACGACCTAAGGCCGATCTTGCCCACCAATGTTCCCCGCCTGCTCCTGCCGCATGAAACCCTCTATCACCTCGTGTTTTTGTTTAGACCCTGCCTCTTCCCTTCCTCCCGCTGCCCCCCTAGACATCCCTTCTAGCATCCACGTGCTCACCATCATGTCCACCCATGAAATGCCTCTCCCGCTGCCCCCCTTGACATCCCGTTTTGCATCTACATGCTCGCGTTCTTGTCCACCCATCGCTCCTTCCACTAGCTGCCACCCTTCACATTCCGTCTTGCCCCACATGCTTTCCCACTTATCCACCCATGCCCCTCCCCCGGCCCCCGTGGGACTATCCGTCGTTCAGCCCCCAATGCTCCCCTACTAATCCACCATATACCTTCGTGCTGCTAAACACGTCGCCCCCTCGTTTCCCCCCCCCCCATCCTCCTCCATGTCCATCCCCGGCACTTCCCATTCCCTCCTGCCGTTTGTCTTTACTTTGCCCTCCCTTGATCTACACTTGTCCACCTATGCTCCCTCCTCTTGCTGCACCCTTTGACCTCTGGAACTGCCCCGCTATACTAACCGACTGGACCCTTATCTTTGCTCCCTCTCACTGCTGCCCCTGTTGTACTCAAGTGCTGCCCCTCTCCTGCTGCCCCCCATGTACACCATGCACCCATCACCCTCCTACCCAGGCTTGCACGCTTGGGCGTCGGGTGCTGACTAAGACACACAAGAAGATGACCGTGGGGCACATCACGGATGATGTGTTCAGGAGCTATGTCCTTGTTCACGGAGATGAAGCGATGGGCTACTTGAAGAAGCGGCTGGCCAGGGAGGGAATTCACGACCAAGTGCTCAATGTGAGAATCAATATGGTGCTCAATGCGGGAGTATCAATGTGAGAATCAACTGCCACTGCCACGTAGACCTGTTAAACGCGGGCCATCAACCTCCTTAATGGGCCGAACCCAGGCATGGCACCCTGTTGTATCCACGCACCCGTCAGCACCCCATTGTCTCAACCCTAACACAAACTTCCATTGTTGTGCTGCGACCCCTGCTTGCCTATTCGCAGGTGCACACTGCCATGGCAATCCCACCGCACGACAGGATGGAGTGGACCGAGAAGGGGCAGTTTGTCAAAGCAAGCCCTTCCGACAGGCACTTTTCAGATGTAGCCATAAATCCAGCTGGCAAAGGGGCCAACTGGTACGGCCGCTGCTTGATGCTGTTCCATTACGTGAAAGATGGCGTGGCAAAAAAAGCCACCTACATCGAGTACTACACGGAGGATCGGCGAGTCTGCCGGTACACTGGCTGCAAACGACTGTTGCCCACGAAAGGCACCTTCAACTATGCAGTTGTAGATGCAGATTGCATTCTTAGGGCGCTTCACCTGTCGGTTCGAACAACACACTCGTTCGAACAGGCGAAACGTTACTCGTTTCGCCTATGTTCGTAGTGGTTTTCGTGACGTCGCGAAGCACAATTTCGCCAATTTGAACAGAGCTGTCACCTCAAGCACGATTTTCATCATCCCGCACGTTCGAACACGTTTGTTCGAACAGGTTGGGATAGGTGACACACAATTCCGCACAAACGACTGATATGATTGGTCCACAGTCTTCCGGGTCGCCCATGAACGTTTGCGACCCGGCCAGACGTCGCCAATGTTTGGGACCCAATGTTTGGCGACGTCGCTCTTTTGTGGGCGACGTCGCTGTGTTCGAACAGACCGCGTGTGCGAATAGCGATGGCGTCACCTGTGATGGCCTGTGTCACATTCGCTCATTGTACGTATTTGTGTTCGAACTCATTTGGGATCAGGGGTTTTTTTATCAGAGTAAATTACTCTGTTTCTCTGAAAATCAGAGTGGTTTTTAGGGGGTCACTCTGACGTGTCTGGGTAATTTTTTTGGAGGATAAGTTTTCTCTGATTTGTCAGGGTTCTGATTTTAGCTACTCTGAGAGACCAGTGTATATTTGTGACCGATATACTTTTCTCTGTACAGGGTATAGGCATTTCACCGTGTCACAACCCCTCCCCCCGCCCTTTTCTGCCCTCCCAATTGTTGGAAGATGGGCAAGCTGTATGACCATAAATCAGTAACCCTAAACTGGTGAGCGCGTAGCACAACGCTTAATACTTTTGGTAGGAGTGCAGAGGGCCTGGGTTCAATACTTGAGAGAACACTCAGAGTTGGAAAAATAGGAACACTGGGTGCCCAGAGTAGGTTTTTCAGAAGTTAAGTTTTCTCTGACAAATCAGAGTAACGCTCACAATGAACCCTGAATTTCAGAGTTCTCTAGAAAACAGCTCTGGAAATCCGAGTAGTGAAAATCCAAAAAAAAGCCCTGTTTGGGATACTGTTCGTACAGTCAAACTGATACGTCGGTTCGGATTTTGGCCTTCCGCCCCTCAGGTGAAGCGCCCTTAGCATCGTGCATGTTGTCCCGTGCTGCAAAGACCCTGCTGTGAAGCTGCTCAATAGGTTCATCTGGTGATGCAAATTAAGCGTGCAAAGGGAAAGAAGGGCGGGCAAATATTCAGGGCAGAGCGCATGGCATACCAGGAGGCACTTGGTTGCACTCTTCAGCTTCATCAGCCCAGCCGTCACAGCCAAGCCCTGCTGATGCACCCACGCTCTGACTTGCGTGTGGGTCACGCCCATCCCCCACAGCAGCGTTCCCAAAGTAGAGATGGCAAAATACAGCACGAGCATTTGGAATGCACCTGGAGACTGCGCATGTGGAACAAGAAGGGGAAGTAATCGAAGTGTGTGAGTGCATGACATGTGAGAGCCAACATGACGGAAGGGGAAGCGTGACAGAATCTCGAAGGTGGCAGCATCATGGGTTTGTTGAAACAAGGTGGCAGTCCTCAAGCCTCATACATTCACCAATACGCACCAGGGTGTGGAGGGAGTGAGAGGGCAAGTTGAGAGCGTGAGCATGCTGAAGCGAAGCGGTGATGGCACTGGTGGCATTAGCCTGAGAGTCCGGTCCGCAGGTGGCATTTCCACGCGTCACAGTGACGTTATCCTGAGAGATAGATAGACAACACATGCGGACATGAGGTGACTTTTGAGTCGACTCAAAAGTCTCCTGAGAGATAGATAGTCAACACATGCAGACATGCAAAGTAGGATACATATGTGCACGCACGTCCACACATGCAGAAAAAAACTCATAGATATTCAGCGTACAGTATGGTCCCGCATAAGAATACTGACAGTACAGAATGGAAAGGGCTCACATGCGGTAGGGAAGCAGACGGGAGCATGAGAGGGTTGTTGACTTGCTGGCTCTCGGTGTCACGTGAAAGCTGCACGAGAGCACACATGCATGGTGAGAGGCAAACGACGTGGAATTAATGTGCTGCTAACTTGGGGCGGAGGGCATGAAAGCTTAAATGTTATGGCACTAATCACTCACATCATCTGCAACCGAACCACGATAGACAGCATCCCTTCCAAGTGGCGTGATGATGCGGACGACAGCAATGGAAGCGATGGCAGCAGCGAGGAGGGCGAGCAGCAGCCCTGGCAGCAGCATGGCCACTGCAGTCATCCGAGCCTTGGCTGATGGGGCGAGCCCAATGCAAGGCGTGGGTCTGCACAGCACAGTGAGGTAAGGGAGGGAGGGAGGCAGCAGGAGCAGGGGAGGGAGGAGGAGGATGGCAGGATCTGTACAGGAGAACAGATGGGACACGTAGGCATGGGGAACAGACGCATACCGATGAGACTGACATGTAGGGTAGGATCACGCGCAACGAGATGGTTGTTAGATTGAAAATGGATTAAAATACATAGGCTTAGGAAGGGCGAGATCAAGGGGGAAGAGCTGGCAGGGAAGGGGGTGGGGGGAGAGCAGAAAGCTGGGAGGAACGAGGGGGTGAGGAGTGGGAGGGAGGAGGAAAGGAGGAACAGAGGGACAGGGTGGGGAAATAGGAGGGTCGAGGAGGGGAGCGCAGCAGGACAACAGGGCAAAGCATGAAGCAAGTGTTAAGCGCGAGGAGTGGAGGTGGCATTGCTATCCAGCCGCACAGAGGAATGAGTGGCGGCACACGGAGGTAAGGAGACGTGAGTGGCAAGGGTTATAACCACACGTGAGATAGGGCAGCAGCAAGACACGCACAAAAACGGAATGCATTCAGGTCAGGCGAGGAGCAAGACGGGTATCCTACTCCGGGGAGGTGGGAGGAGCAGGACACATGTGGTATGATGCGAGCAGCAGGGCGCATTTGAAAGGGTGAGGTGGTGGGAGCAGTGCAGAAGCCGTACCTGGCGTGGGTGAGGTGTGCCGGATGCCAGCAGCAAGCGCGGCGCTTCACTGGGGCACCGAATGGGGGCGCGGCACTTAATTGAAGGAGGCGAGGGAAGGGCGAGGCAACAAGAAGTCGCAGGCAGCAGCAGCAGGGGCAGTTGCGAGCAAGGTGTCTCTCCTACTCCGGTGGGTTGGGTTGGGGGGAGACAAGTGAAGCGAGGCACTACGCCACTGGCAATGGCAAGAGGCACTGACGAGGAGGGGAATGGCGAGAGGGCAGAGGCTAGGAGCGGTAAGGAGGTGCGCTCACAATAGATGGAAGCAAAATTGAGGTCTAGGAAACGAAGAGGACGAAATGGACTGTATACTAGTTGAAGCTGGGGTTAAGCTGAAGGGCTGGGGAAAATGGACTGAGGAGCGGGAGGGAGTAGGGAAGGGATGGAGACCGGTCACGGGAGGTGAGAAGGAGGGGGAGGTGGATGGGGGAGGGGAAGGAGCGGGGGGAACAGAGTAAGTGGCAGAAGAGAGGAAGGGCACAATGGAGGGGAGGGTAGCGCAAAAGGGCAGCAGAAAGAAGTGTGATGTGGGAATGAGTGCTAAGCGTGGGAAACAGAATGGCATGGTAAGCCAGTAGCAGAGAGGAACGGGTGGCAACATTGGGAGGTAAGGCGAGGGGCGTTGGGAGAAGGGCGAGATGGGCGAGCAGCAAGACGCATGTGATAACCAAAGAGGAAATGCAACTATGTCAGGCGATGAACAAGACGCATGTGGTACGCCAGGATGGCACGCATGTGTACGGTGGAAGGAATTGGACACATTTAGTACGGTGAGGGCGGAGCAAGGCATATCTGGGATGGTGAGACGATGGCAGCACAGCAAAAAGCCGCACCTGCAGTGGGTGACGTGTGCCGAACTGCTACAGCGAGCTGGCAGCTGCGCGCTTTGGAGGACAGGGGGTGGCGAGGTGGGGGAGAGAGGAGCACCACGTTCAGCTCGGTGGCGTGGTAGAGGCGACACCTGCGATGGTGATTGCAGTAGCTTATGTCTGAAGTGAGTGCAGGACGAGGGCAGATGAGGGTGCGAGTAAGACAGCTGTAGTTAGTGTGAAGACATGGCAGGGGAAGGGAGAGACGAGAATGGAGATGCGGGAGGGACAAGGAAAAGCATAATAAGAGTTCGTAAGCTTGACTCGAGGCACGAGAGAAAGGGATACGGAAGGAGTGGGAGACAACAGGAGGGGAACAAACAGGAGACGGCAAGGGTAGGGCGAGATGGAGGGAGCTAGAGATAACTGGGATGCTAGAGTTCGGCAGCAGGAGTAACAAACAGTTGATAGGAGGTGTAAACTCGTTTTAGTCGCGAAGAGCTAGACTTCAGGAGTTATGACAGGGCTGGGCAAGAACAAGGTGATGGAATACATTGAATGAAGCGAACAAACGAATGAAGGGCAGAAGCAGCATTTGCAGATCAAAGAAGCATATGACGATCGCAGAGAATAAGTATCTGAGGCATAGTCACACACAGGAATAGGCCGCGGCACTAGGAGGTAGGAGAGGTGAGGGAGAGGCAACAGTTTCTTCTCAAGGGCAAGATAGGTGAGCAGAAAGGCGTATGTGATAAGAAACAAAGAAATGCATTCAGATCAAGCAAGGAGCATGACACATCTGGTTCTCTGTGGACAGTGGGAACAAGCTGGTGGGCGGTGAGAGCTGCAGGGCGCACTTGGTAGGGCGAGACGGTGGGAGCACAGCAGAGACGCCGTACCTGGAGTGCAAGCAGGTGGCAGTGACGACCGGGGCAGCAGCACTGACAGCTGCGAGCGAGGCGCTTCAACGGAGGGCGACAGGAAGTGGCAAGCGGCAGCAGCGAGGCACCGCAGGCAGTGAAGAGGAGAGAGGAATGGAAGGAGGGCAGAGACTACACTGGTAAGAAAGGTGCGCTCTCAAGATGAAGGCTAGGAAGCGGAGGAGGAAATGGATCGCCCGTGCAGACAGAGCTGGGTTTGAAGAATAGGGTGCAAGAGACGGGCAGGAGGAAGGAAGAGAATGGGGAGCGGAGGAGGAGGATGTGTGCGATGCGCGCGCATTGCGGCTGCCAACGCCCCACTCGCCTTGCTGTCGCACCCGTCTCGAGTCGCCTTCTCAATCGCTTCGTTTTCACGCAGGACCGAATCGCATTCATGTTGCAAGCAATCGCAGCCTTGGAGCACAAATGGCAGCATGCATTACTGACCCCATCCTCTGCACGTCGCCACGTGGCGGGAGCATGCCACCCTCCCTTTCGCCCATACTCATCCCAGTGAATGCCTTGGTTCGGTCATGTTTGCACCGCCATAACGGGTCGCTTCTCATAACTCGCCCATCACTATTCTGGACATTTTCTAGCATTCGCTTTCGCGGCTGCATCGAAGACCATTGTCGCCGGTGGGTTCCTGCGCCGAGCAGCATCACGTGGCCGAATCGTGAGGCTGAGGACGTAGGTACCAAATCCGACGTTATAGATCGCGAATTCGGCTGCGACGAGCAAGATCATATGCTATGATCTGCGGGATGAGAAACGGGAGGGGCTAGGATACGCGCGTGCATGGAGAGAGCATGACGACAGCTGGAGTTATGAGCGAGCCTGGAGAATTTGCTGCCTCCACGCCGTGGGAGGAGATGGGCGTGAGACAAGGGCTCTGTTCTGTAGGCCTTGGCGGTGGGGGGGCGAGGGGTATAGGTAGCTTCCCCCCATTGCGTTTTTTGGTTTGGGGAGCGGTCAGCCCGGAAAACGGTGTCGAGCCAGCCATTTCCCCTCCGAACCTGTTCGAGGGGAAATGGCAACAGAACAGCCATTTCCCCTCGAGGGTTTGAGGGCCACGGAAGCACCCAACTTCCCCTCCGCACCTTCCTTCTCGGGCAAAAATCTCGGCCCTCGCCTTGCCCTACGAAACTACCCTTTTCGTGGTTGGGCGACGGCCAGGGGACGGATGTACTGGGGGTGGGGATACCGGCTTGCTACCCTAGAAAGCCACCTCATCCTGCTGCGCTTAACCCAACCAGCGAAGGACTACCCCGTCGGAAAAAAATAACCCCAGCACCATCTTGCACAAAGTGATAATTGGGCGTTGGGTTTGCTTTTGGTTGTTTCTGATGCAAAACACCCTTTTTTAATTTCGTACCCTCATCCTCGGTTTCCGCAGTTTGGTATACCCCTGCCTAAGGGGCGCGAAATTGAACATGCAAATTCGCCATTTACCGTCGGCAACTTCCGCCCCTCCGCACGAATTTCTCGCTTTCGGTTGTAGCGGTTTGGGGGCGATATCGACAGGGAAACTGCATAGGAACCGTCGTCATTAACTTCACCCCCCTCCTCCCCCCAACGGCATGTGCCTACAGAACAGAGCCAAGGGGAAGAGAGGCGTGAAAGTGGGTGAGGGAATGGTGCGAATTTCCGCCAAGCAAATGTGAAGCACTTCTCATTTCGTTCGCGAAGTTGTTTCTAAGCTGTTTTTCTGTTGAACGAAACCTCATCTTCTCGGATACTGAAGCCCTCAATGAAGTGGTGCAAATTCCACAGCACAGAAAACCCGTTCTATGGCTGCGAAGCGAATCATTCCTGTCAACCTTTGGTGGGCTGAAGCAACCCACCCACAGAAACACCCCTCCTTTTACGTAAGATTCCCCATGGTGATGACGTGCTCCCATCGCACCATTTGTCACTCGCGCCGCTCGCCCATCAGTGATGGGTTACCGGCGATTCACCTCACCTCCCGTTCACCTCTCACTCTTTTCATGGCATCACCGGCGTCGCACGTCCGACCCATCCCAGCCTACCCGAAAGGATAAGATGAGCACAGCACCCGTCCTCGCCCCAACCCCCGTTGCTGAATCGCCACGGTGCTTCAACGAGCGCATGCGCGCATGAGTCGATCACAAGCGCATGCGCGCAACCGTGTGGCAACGCGGGGCACTAGGACATTCACATCTGCGCCTGTCCCCTTGTAACGTCTTCAGCCCTTCGCATCACCCGGGCGTTCATCGCCAGTTCCTACCATGCTCAGCGTGCCATTATGGAACAATGCACCACCCTGCTGCCGTGACCATTGTAAGCTCAAACCCTACAAATCCACTTCACTAGGAACTACCGCGGCGGTACTACCCAAGGGACTTCGCTCCACGTTCGCCGCGTTCACTGTAAGCACAACCGTTCTAGTAAACGATCAGCGCCATCCGAATTGGGAGAGCGAGGGAGAGAACCGGTAGGGCGAAGGTGGTAGAAGGTTGGAGAACGTAGAGAGGGAGAAGGGCGCCAGGGAATGAGGGGATAGGATCATAGGATTGGGCGGTGCCTTAGGAACTGGGAAGGAAAGGGCGGAGGCTGAGGGACAGCGCGAGATGCCGAGGTGGCGGATGGAGAATGAGGACCCGAAGAAAAGGGCTCTGGATTGTAGAGTCACGCTGGATGTAGACGGGCGATGAATCAGGGCGGCTAGTTAAGATGAGAGAATAGAAGCAGGTGGCGTGTCGTGTGAGCAATGCGGAAGACTGGACCTTGTGTTAGCGGTTCCTAAGCTTGGATATGAACAAGTTTGGGTTTCTGTTTGTGGTGTCATTTTTTTTTCCATATATTCCTTTGCACTGTTTGGGCCCTTCCTAGACATTGAGCAGTCCAGAGGTGTTGCACGTGGCCTGGGCATCTCAGGCGTTTGATCTCTCCGTCGCCCCGGCTACTGAATGTAAGAGCCTGTGTGGCTTTGCAACTAATTGATGGGCAACTATTTGTCCCCTAGCTTCTTGGTGATAGCTTCCTGGTTATCCTCTTTCATAGCTATTATGCTTGATTGAGATCAATGTAATATGAGATGCGGGTTATTCTCACTTGGGTCCAACCAGGGCGTTCGATTGAGGGCCTTTTAAATTTCCATGACCATCCATGACCACGAGATTCCTTCGCCACCTCCTTCGCCTGTTCTGTCACTTCTCTTTGACGTTCCGTGCTCCGTGTGCCTTCTTGGTCTTTCTACGGCTAGAGCGGACAGTACGACGAATGTGCTTGGGGAGTGTGCCGTATTAGTAAAGCTGTGCCTATGTGGGCAGGAAGTGTCCCTTTAACCCACCAACTAAGCAATGGTCCTCCTTCCCCTCAATGGTCCTCCTTCCCCTCAATGGTCCTCCTTCCCCTCAATGGTCCTCCTTCCCCTCAATGGTCCTGGGGTGAACTTGCCCCCTGGTAGACCTATACTGTGGTTAATCGATCATGTAGTAAACCTACCGTATGGTTGACCTATGCTGTGGTTGACTTATCCAGTTGCTAACCTATCACATTGTTAACCTTAACACGTGGTAAACCTAACACGTGGTTAACCTATCACGTGGTTAACTTTATCAAGTGGGTAACCTATTGTTTAGTTCACCTAACTATTCTGTAGTTAACCTATTCTGTGGTTAACCTATCATGTGGATAACATAGCCATTCTTGCATAACCGTTTATTGTCTCTCATCGATTTGCTCCTTTGCCTTTCTGCATCTCGCTTTCAATCCCATCTGCTTCTAGCCTAGAGGTCTTTCTTCACTCCACTTTAATCCAGTCCACTGTTCTCCTACTCCTGTCCACTTTTCAGGATAAAATATTACCTTGCCTGAACGCTTCTTGGATTGAGAGTGCGTTGAGACGATGGCTGTGAAAAGGGAGGTGAATGTTCATAGTACGGCAGTTAGTGGGGTGCTTGCAGCAGTGAGATGGGAACTAGCCTCAGTGAAGGGGAAGGTTGCAGAAATGGAGGGGGAGGTGGCAGAGGTTAAGGGGGAGGTTGCAGAAATCGAGGGGGAGGTGGAAGAGGTGAAGGAGGAAGTGGCGGAGGTGAAGGAAAAGATGGCAGAAGTAAAGGGGGAGCTGGCAGCAGCAGTGGTGGAGAAGAGGTGGGTTGTGGAGAATGAGGTGAATGGGGTGAGGCAATGGACGTTGACATTCATGTGGTCCTACTTCTCTCGCTACCTGTTTTATCACCATTTGTCCCCGTCGCCTCTTTTCCTCGTGTGCACTCAGTGTGCAAATGTCTACCTGCCCCTGCGGCTGCCGCTTCCCCCCTCCTTTCCCCCTTGCTGCCGCTTGTTCCACCCGTCCCTGCTTTTGCTGCTTGTCCCCCTCCCCCCTGCCTGCTGCCTTACATTCTTTCTACCAACTCGTTGATTCATATGGTCGTTCTCACAAATTAAATTTCATGACTATGTGCACCATCTGTCTCCTCATGTGCACTCAGTACAGCACCTGCATTTCCTGCCACTTCCCCCCTCCTTCCCCTGGTCCTGCTGCCCCCTTCCCTCGCACTTGCCCTGCCGCACCTCAATGTGCAGCCGCATGCCTTGCATAGTCATGCCTCGGAGGACTGCAGTGGTCATGCTGCTGCTGGCTTTCCTCCTTGGCGCTGCCATCGTGTATTTTGGGTGAGAGGACGTGTTAGTAAGGTACGTCTAGGAACTACCTATCAGTTTTATTTGCTTAGAAACTGGGATCTTAAAATGTGAACCCTAAATGGTGAGCGCTAGAGGTAAATGTGGTGGCGACTGGGTTGGGTTTTAGTTAGTCTATGGTGATTGCAGTCGTGGGTTAGAGAGATGTGTGATTGCGATATGGGGCCGAGATTATGACCTGCAAAATTAAAACAGCTTTATTTGGGTCAGTCGAAAAGTTTTTCTCCAAGTGTCCAGCGTCAGGACGTGCGTCTAGAGTGTTGGCGCAAGCAACTAGAGTTTTGAAGCTTGACGCTAGATGCTCAGAGCCTCAGAGCTACATATCCAACATAGGCATGCCTTCACATCTGCATGTTCTGCTCATCAGCATGTCTCAGTCTTGAGGGAGTTCAGCTTATGTCCACCTACGCCTCCCCTCTTGACTTACCCATCCTCCTATTGCCCCATTTTCATCTTCTCTCCCTAACCTTCTGTTTGCTCATTCCATGTGTGCTGTCATGTGTGTTCCCGCGTGCTGGCATGTGCAGAAAGAATGGCGGGTCACAGATGGAGAGGGAAGTGGGAACAGTGAAGTGGGAGCTGGCTCGACATAAGGATGCAATAATGAGGCTGAAGGATGCGATGAAGAAGATGCATGTTGATCTGCAAATCGCCCAGAGTAGTGGCAGTCATAAGATTGCATGGGAGGTAAGAATATGTTTTAAATGGCATTCATTGTCTCACAGGGCATGCACAATCTGATTCTTTATCATCCCTCCTTAATTTATTCCCCCTCATCCCATTCCGCCAGCGAATCAAGGCCGCATCACAAGCAACCGATCTAAGCCTTGGCAATCTCAACGGCCTCTCAGACGGCATCCTTCACCATGTGGCTGAAATGACGCACCTGAAGAGCATTGACTTGCATTATGAACCAGGCTTCTTTTGGTGGATGTCGTCCTCAGGCTTCAGTGCAGAGGGCATCACGCACCTCTTCAGACTGACACAGCTCGAGAAGCTAGACCTCAGAGGCACAGGCATAACAGACAGTGCCTTAGAAGGCATTGGGTCCCTGACCAATCTGAGAAGCCTCTTTCTTGATCGAACCAAGGTGACCGATGCTGGTCTGTCATTCTTGAAACGCCTTCCTTCTCTCAGAATCTTGAGCCTTACGGGATGCCAAGGTGTGACGACTGCTGGCATGGTGCATCTGGAAAGGCTGACGGGGCTTCTTAGTCTTTGGCTGGATGGCACGGGAGTAACAGATGATGGGCTGAAGCAGCTAGCTGGCCTCACCAACCTGAGACAACTCTTTCATCCAGGTGGGAATTGGAGGCAGTTAGCTGGGTAGTTTGGCAGGGTGTGATGCTGGAAGGGAACTGAGCTCGTTGAAGAGTTAGACTCTGGCTGTACGGAAAACTGAGGAGAGGCGTAGAGGCATGCATGCGATTGGTTACTACCCACCCACCCACAGTTTTCCCCACCCTGATACTTTGCTGAAATTCAAGAGGAGATCCGGCCTGGTCGTTTGATGAGGTTCTTGTGCCACGGGAAGAGTGAGGCGTGGAATGGTGCTTGTGCAAGGCTGAGTTTTCATGCTGCATGGTAGGTGCGGAAGTTACATGTGCGGGATCACGACGAACTTAGTCGTTGTTGTCAAGATAGCAAGCAGGAATGTTGCATTGAATGAAATGTAGGTACAAGTACTAACCCTAACTTAGGGTTGTACCTAGGGCATTTTTTTTATTTTCACTACTCGGATTTCCAGAGCTGTTTTCTAGAGAACTCTGAAATTCAGGGTTCATTATGAGCGTTACTCTGATTTGTTAGAGAAAACTTAACTTCTGAAAAATATACTCTGGGCACCCAGTGTACCTATTTTTCCAACTCTGAGTGCTCTCAAGTATTGAACCCAGGCCTACTGCACTCCTACCAAAAGGTTTAAGCGATGTGCTGCGCGCTCACAATTCTACTTTACGAATTTGTATAACTCTACTTAGTCTGCCCATCTTCCAACAATTGGGGGGGAGAGGGGGGAGCGGGGGGGGGGGGTCGGTCTAAATGCCTATACCCTGTACAGAGAAAAGTACATCCGCCACAAATATACACTGGTCTCTCAGAGAAGCTAAAATCAGAACCCTGACAAATCAGAGAAAACTTATCCTCCAAAAAAATTACCCAGACACGTCAGAGTGACCCCCTAAAAACCACTCTGATTTTCAGAGAAACAGAGTAATTTACTCTGATAAAAAAACCCTATAGGGTAACCCTATATGGGTTACTCCATTATAGCCTATACATAACTAATGCATATATAGTTTGACACACTCCCATAGGCAAAGTGGGGGAGAACAAGGGGTCACAAGACCAGTCAAGAAAAGCAAAGCAAAGCAAGCTCGGGGTGGATCACAACGTCACGACACACTCGAGCACAAGCAAAGGGGCCACAAGGCCAGTTCACATGGAGAGGTACATATGCAACAACAACAGTACAGTGATCACTACATAGCAAGAGTAAACATGCAGGTACACATATATAGATTACAGTACAACTAGAGTCTACAGTAAGTGAGGAAACGTAGGCACCAGGCCTAGAGCAGTGCAGAAGCGCTGATGATCACCAGCTGGAAGGGCCTTGGTGAACACATCAGCAGTGTTGGCCCAAGTGGGCACGTGAGCGACACGAAGCTGACCACGCTGCTGCAACTCTCGAGCAAGGAAGTAACGCAAAGAGATGTGCTTCGTTCAGTGCTCCAGTCTGTGGTCCTAACATAAAGCAATGGCAGCCTTGTTGTCGACGTACAGAACTGGAGGAGAACGAGGCCTCTCTCGCAACTCGGTCAGCAGGTAGGTAAGCCAACGTAACTGTCAAACTTATACTCTACAGTTTGTTTAGGCTGTAGTGGGGTAGTTACTATGGGGTATAGTAAGTTTAGGGTTTCCTACTTATATCCACCATTTTCCTAGTGCAAACACTTCTTCTTTCTGACATGGTATTACGAGCCTAGGTTAGGAACCTAGGACCGCTTACCTAAGGGCCCACCGTTCCGCTAGAAGCGCCCTCGTGCGCCCCACCGTCTTAGCGCCATCGTGTGCCTCTCTGCTAGTGCGCCCTCGCGCGCCCTCCCTCTCACGCTGCCCGTTTGCAGCCCACTAGCCGCCCGAGCGCGGCCCGTTTTTTCTTGCGCACGCCAGTAGGCCGTCGCCCGTAGGCCCCGCTCGCCCCTAGGTCGACGCTCGACCCATCGTCGCCCGCCCGCAGGTCGCAGCCCGCACGCAGCGACGATCGCGCGTCGGCTGCTGCAGCTCGCGCTTAGCCGCCGCACGAACGCAGCCGCGGCCCGCGTGCAGCCGCACCCTAGGCGTCGTCGCGCACCGTGCATAGGCCCGCCGTCGCGCCGCCCTGCCTGCCCGAGCCGCGCCGCGCCGTCCTGCCCGAGTCGCGCCGCCCTTACCGAGCCGCGCCGCCCCACCTGCAGCAACTACTGCTTCTATTCCTGCTGTTACAGCTGTTCTTACTACTACTTGTGCTACTGCTACTGCAGCCACCATGGCTACTCCCACCATTCTCTCTTTTGATGCTGAGGGCCGCCCGGTTTAGTTTGACGCTTGGCTCGACGACCTGCACCTGTTCCTACAGATCACTGCTAAGGACGATATCTCACTGTACGATCACGCGTCCGGAACCGCTCCTGGACCTGCTGAGACTCCTGACAATACTACTCGCTCCCAGTGGCAGACTCGTGACGCTCACGCTCGCCTAGCCATTCGCAGCCACCTACCGCTAGATGAGCACGCGCATTTTGGCCAGCACAAGACTGCTAAGGCACTGTAGCAGCAGTTGTCACAGGGTTACACCTTCAGCCTTGGCTACGGTTCTGTTTCGTGGCGGTCTACCCGCTCGTCTTCTGTTCTCAGATGCACACGTTGGTCGAGGATGGTTTCCATAAACTACCGGCGTGTGAGCTTGTAGGGACGCCACTCCATTGGCGCCGTCAGTACCGTCACGATTTGAGGAAGTGGTCTGTGTATTTTCGGGCAAAAACAATGTTGGAGGTTGGAGGTGGGGCAGGCGGCGGTGAAAAGCTGGTAATGGGGCGGGTAGCAAGCGAGAATGTGGCGGGAAGACTGGGGGAATGAGGCCCGAAGCAAGGGGGAATGGGGCCTGAAGCAAGGGGGAATGAGGGAGGTAGCAAGGGAGTATGAGGCCCGAAGCAAGGGGGAATGAGGCCTGAAGCAAGGGGGAATGGGGAGGGTAGCAAGGGAGAATGAGGAGGGTAGCAGTGAAGAATGGGGTGGGAAGCAAGGGGGAATGGGGTGGCTAGCAAGGGGGGAAGAGGCCGAAAGCGAGGGGACATGAGTCGGGAAGCAAAGGGGAATGAGGGGGGTAGCGAGGGAGAATGAGGCGGGAAGCAAGGGGGATTGGGGCCTGAAGCAAGGGGGAATGAGGGAGGTAGCAAGGGAGTATGAGGCCCGAAGCAAGGGGGAATGAGGCCTGAAGCAAGGGGGAATGGGGAGGGTATCAAGGGAGAATGAGGAGGGTCGCAGTGAAGAATGGGGTGGGAAGCAAGGGGGAATGGGGTGGGTAGCAGGGGGGAATGAGGCCGAAAGCGAGGGGACAAGAGGCGGGAAGCAGAGGGAATGAGGGGGGTAGCAAGGGAGAATGAGGCGAGAAGCAAGGGGGGCGCGGCTCTGAAGCAAGGGGGAATGAGGGAGGTAGCAAGGGAGTATGAGGCCCGAAGCAAGGGGGAATGAGGCCTGAAGCAAGGGGGAATGGGGAGGGTATCAAGGGAGAATGAGGAGGGTCGCAGTGAAGAATGGGGTGGGAAGCAAGGGGGAATGGGGTGGGTATCAAGGGGGGCTGAGGCCGGAAGCGAGGGGACATGAGGCGGGAAGCAGAGGGAATGAGGCGGGAAGCAGGAGGGAGTGAGGCGGGTACGTGGGAGGAATAAGTGTGTGAGTGAAGAACAAGGAAGCGGGTAGCATGGGGGAATGAGGACAAGATCAATAAGGAATTGTTTGTTCATCCGTCCTGCCAGCTTGATATGCCAACAAACATGACACAAAGCGCAATGGAGAGGCCTTGAATCAGTCCTGCATGACTTGACAACAAGTGTGGCCAAATGAGAGTGTTGGCCACAACCAGTCCATGTTTAGAGAACACTACCCGTAGGGAAGTGTTTGTCACTGGCGTTCCTGGTTGACATGTATACAAACAATACACAATGGGTCAGTGTGATGCTGCAAAACATACCTGCATGTCGCCACAACTCTAGTGGGTAGAACAGCAGGGGTTTCTCAACTCCGGTCCAGCATGAACCTAGAACATACAACACAGCATGCTCTTGGGTCCCTGCATAAAAGGTTGCCATGTATGGCATGAGAGCAGCCATGCCCCATACGGGGAGTTTGTGTTTGGCTCTATTATTAGTGCACCTCAATTGGCACGAGAGGAGACATGCCCATACGCGTTGCATAACGACCAGGCAGCAATCAAATAATGCGTACTTACTAATCAATCGATGTATCAGAATGACTGCTCCACCACAGACCGTTATGTGCATGTTCTGTGAACGTGGTGTTTGGTTTTACACTGTTATGTTGCATACTTGTCACTATGCTAATGGGTTAGGGGGACTCCTGTTACGAGTGCACTTGAGTGAGCGAACGAGGATTGCACTATCGGGAAAAAAGTACAACTGAGCGAAGGTATGAGCGAAAGGTTATATAGCGAAACCACAGTGGTAACGGTAATGGACTGTGGTTGTCGCGCGACGGGCATGGGACTGAGGTTGGGAAAATGTCGAGGCGAAGGTCCGGAGCGCGGGTTACCGCCGAGCCGTGAGGTCGGGGTGCGACGTGCGAAAGTGGCGGGCGGATTGTCGATGCGAGTGGTAACGGTGCTGACTGGTGATGTACGCGTTGAGCAGGGATGCGAAGTAAGGAAAACGAGATTTTCCTTACAACTCCATAACCCTCTAATTCTATTTTTATCATGTACGTACACCACACTATTGAGGCTTTGCAAACTAATGTGCCATTACGTGCCCCGCCCTGCGCCATTCCACTCAACTCCACGCTATGCCACGTACGCGAATCTCCCTGATTTGCGAACCAGTCGCAACCACACACAAGGAACTACTGAGTCTGCGTTTTTATCGCAGGCGTGCCGCAACGACTTCGTGTCGACCTGTCGCATCGCTGTACGACTTGCTGCGATCGAGCGTCGCCGTTTCTCCGCAGACCCTATGTGACTCTTGACGTGCAGCTTGTGTAGGTTTGTGTGGCACGCGAGGCACTTCATTGTAAACAGTACGACAACCCGGGCAGAATAATTATGACCCTCGCAAACCCAGATACAGTAGCGCATTTGAGTGTCGGGTTGAACAAAAAGAAGCCCACCCTGGCGCTTGTGGAATGATACTCAATTAAGCACGTTAGGTCCCACGGAATCTTAACACGGCAGTGCTGCATGTTTTTCCTTTATACACCTCAACCACCAGGCGATTGGTTGTTGGCAGAAAAGGGGGACCTAGCAGTCGCAACGTGCACCATAGCAGGAAACACTCAAACCCTCATCACCTCCGTGCTCCCCTTGCATGCCTCCAGCTGTGACGATCGTCTGCTCTAGGCCCCAGACTTTGCCTCGTCCCTCTCCCTCCTCAACCAATTTTTTACGCTCGTAGACTGCTGTCAGGTTCTTCGCGGTAGCACAACCCGCAACCTCATAGTACTGCGTGAATGGAAAGCTAGACATCGTAACAAGGAAGTCAGACAATGAAGGGGCCCGAAGCGGCGATCGTACTGGCTGAATCGACTAAAACCCCCGACGAAACAAATTTTGCGGAGTTAGTAACAGCAGATAAGACGGCCGAGATCGTAAACGAGTATCGCAAAAATAATGCGTCGACGGCGCGAGATGTTGTTGATTCCAGACGTGCCTCGTCATCCGGTGACGAATCGAATAGCGACTGTGATGTTGAGCCATACGCAAACAAGGGCATATCATCCCCTTCGAAACCAAGGGAGAAGCGCGTGAAGCGCTTAGATGATCTCGTTCCCAAAGGCGGCCAGAAAGGTACGTGTTTATGGTCGCAGATGCGGAATATTCTACTTGCATGCATGAAACGATGCTTGTAGTCGTGTCTGACCTGATGGAGGTTATCGTCTCTTCAATTGTGTGTCCACATCAGCGTCAGCGGACAAGCGTGACAACCGGGGGGGGCGTAAGCACCGTCCAAGAAAAAGAGGCACTCGTTCACATCGTGAGGAAACGCATGCGTCTGAAGGCGACGAGGAGGGCAAAGACGAGGGACCTGACAGCTTAGGTACGCTGTGGGTGTGATATCGACGGTTTATATTTTGCACGTTACTCATTACAATGACGCCGCATGTCATGCTGCAAATTCCAGCCAATAAGATAATGTGTGCACAGTTTTTCTTATGTACCTGTCATGTCCGCCTTCGCAGATGGGACGGCAGGCCAACGCGCACGTGGTGGCGGAAAGCGCAACGGCGGCAGGGCTGCCGCGGCCAAGGGCGGTCCCTCGGGCAGGCAGTCGCAGGATGCGGATGGAGGCGATGAGGGGGATCATGCCGAGCCGGAAGCTCGTGGTGGCGGAAAGCGCAACGGCGGCAGGGCTGCCGCGGCCAAGGGCGGTCCCTCGGGCTTGTAGGATGCGGATGGGGGCGACGAGGGGGATCATGCCGAGCCGGTCACTACCCGTGGTGGCGGAAAGCGCAACGGCGGCAGGGCTGCCGCGGCTAAGGCCGATCCCTCGGGCAGGCCGGCGCAGGATGCGGATGGAGGCGACGAGGGGGATCATGCCGAGCCGGAAGCTCGTGGTGGTGGAAAGCGCACCGGCGGCAGGGCTGCCGCGACCAAGGGCGGTCCCTCGGGCTCGCAGGATGCGGATGGTGGCGACGAGAAGGATCATGCCGAGCCGGAAGCTCGTGGTGGCGGCATGCGCAACGGCGGCAGGGCTGCCGCGGCTAAGGGCGGTCCCTCGGGCAGGCAGTCGCAGGATGCGGATGGTGGCGACGAGGGGGATCATGCCAAGCCGGAAGCTCGTGGTGGCGGCATGCGCAACGGCGGTAGGGCTGCCGCGGCCAAGGGCGGTCCCTCGGGCTCGCAGGATGCGGATGGTGGCGACGAGAAGGATCATGCCGTGCCTGCATGCCGTGGCGTTAACGATCATGATGAGGACGAGCCAGCAGCAGTGACTGATGGGAAAGGTGGACGTGAAGCTGTGATTCCGTACCAACGGCGCAAGGCTGTGGATCCGGGCAGTTGCGACCATAAGGCGAGACAAGCTCGGCACGGCCCCAATGTGCACAATTCGAGCTCGTCTGGTTCCGAGGAAGATTCGAGCGACAGTGAGTCGGGCAGCTCATCCGGGAGTGAGGAGGTATACGAGGACGAGGATGAGGAGGAGGAGGACGAGGATGATGAGGAGTTGGAGCCGGAGAGCGAGGATGGGGAGGAGGCTCGGCCTTTGAAGAGGAGGACTGTGCGGAAGCTCAAGAAGGGCAACGCTAAGCAAAAATCGGAGAGGGGACGGGTGAAGAGCTGTAAACAGAGTGTGCGTCGTGCCAAACCACATGGCAAGCGCCAGAGACCTCGAATCAAAGCTAAAATTGTGGGTGTGCGTAGCAAGGCAAAGCGGGAGTTGAATTTTTACGAGTCCATGGGGATACGATGTCCATCAAGCTCTCATGATCGGCAAGCCGCGGACCCGTACGCTGCGTTATGCGATCCGATGGGTTCGGCTGGGAAGGGAGATCCGATGGCTTGGGGGTCAGCGCGGTTTGGCAGGGAAGCGACGGACCCGCCCCCCAACCATATGGGGGGTCGCGCGGTTCATGTGAAAACCGAGGGGGCAACGAAGCGGCACGAACCCTCGGCAGGTGCAGCAGCGAATGACGGTGTGGGAGGAGGTGTGTGGGCGAATGCCTTGGGTGAATGTGGCGGCGGTGTGGAAGGCTCCATGTGGGATGTACGGGAGAGCAGGGGAGAAGGGGGGGACGAGAAAATGGATCCGGCGACTAAGGAGGGGAGGGGAGAGAGCATGGGCACACCTGGCGCATCCAGTCGGCCGGATGTGGCTGGCGGCAGGACTGTGGAGAAGCTCATGCGAGAGCTTGCCCAGCGGGATCGCGAAATCGTTGCACTCAAGGCAAGGCCAGGATCAAAAGGACCTGTCAAGCCCTGCACCCCTCCATCTAGGCCTCCTCCTCTAGCGTCTCTGTCGAGCGGCCCATCTGTAGGGGGGCTCGATCCAGGCGTGGCGCCAGAAAGCCCAGCGACGGTAGACGTACCGGTCCGTCGAACGCGTGGGATGCCCACACCCAAGCTGCTGAAGGTGAGATTGTTTTAGTGTTAAACAATGTGTAGCATGGGGCTCAGTGATAGCTGCAGCTCTCTCTCTCAACCCCTCTTGCTGCTGGTAAGCGTGTTTGTGGCATTATGCGCAGTGATAGCGGCATGTCTGCAGTGGGATAGGCATTCCCAGTACGCCTCGCTTCAGGGACGTGGCGCTGGGCGTACGATGCTCTCACATTCTGCCCCCGACCCCTAGCTCACCATAGCAGTTATCCATCCTCCATTGGCCCCTCTAAACCCATCCCTTCCCACCCTAAACCAGAGCCCCTGTTCATGGTGCTGGTGCTGGTGTGGGTGGCACGCGGCGCAAGGATAGCTCATTGTAGCAGTTATCCTTCCTATCCCTCCCCCCTCCCTCCCATCCCTCGCCTAGCTCTTCCAGAGCCCCTGTTCCTGGTGCTGGTGGTGGTGTGGGTGTCATGCGGCGGAGGGATAGCTAAAAATAGCAGTTATCCTTCATCTCACTTCCCTCTCTCTCCCACCCCCCCCCCCTCCCTCTGCGAGAGCCCCTGTTGATGGTGCTGGGGGTGGTGTGGGTGGCATGCGGCGGAGGGATAGCTAAGCATATCAGTTTTCCTTCATCTCACTTCCCTCTCTCTCCCATCCCTCCCCTCCCTCTGCGAGAGCCCCTGTTCCTAGTGCTGGTGGTGGTGTGGGTGTCATGCGGCGCAAGGAATAGAAGAAGCCGTATCCGTCAACCCCATGCGGCCCCCTTTCTGTCCGCCGCTCCTCCCTCCCCTCTCTATCCCGTCCCTCTCCCTCCTCGTCCAGAGTCACTGTAAAAGGTGCTGCTGGTCACGCGAGTGGCATGCGGCGTAGCGTGCAGGGGGGTGGCTGCAGTGGAAGTTGAGACTCCTCGTACGAGGAGAACATGAACCCTCGCGCTGGGCGTACGGTGCCCTCTCACTCTGCCTACTCCCCCGTCTTTCGCTCTGACTATTTTATCCCCTCTCTCTCCCCTCTCACTCTACCATCGCTCCCCTACCTCAACCAGAGCTCCTGTTCATGGTGCTGGTGGTGGGGTGGGTGTCATGCGGCAGAGTGATCGTAAATCGCAGCAGTTATCCTTCCCATCCCTCCCCCCTCTCTCCCATCCCTCCCCTCCCTCTGCGAGAGCCCATGTTCATGGTGCTGGGGGTGGTGTGGGTGTCATGCGGCGGAGGGATAGCTAAGCATAGCAGTCATCCTTCATCTCACTCCCCTCTCTCTCCCATCCCTCCCCTCCCTCTGCGAGAGCCCCTGTTCATGGTGCTGGGGGTGGTGTGGGTGTCATGCGGCGCAAGGAATAGAGGAAGCCGTATCCGTCAACCCCACGCGGCCCCCTTTCTGTCCGCCGCTCCTCCCTCCCCTCTCTATCCCGTCCCTCTCCCTCCTCGTCCAGAGCCACTGTAAAAGGTGCTGCTGGTCACGCGAGTGGCATGCGGCGTAGCGTGCAGGGGGGTGGCTGCAGTGGAAGTTGAGACTCCTCGTACGAGGAGAACATGAACCCTCGCGCTGGGCGTACGGTGCCCTCCCACTCTGCCTACTCCCCCGTCTTTCGCTCTGACTATTTTTTCCCCTCTCTCTCCCCTCTCACTCTACCATCGCTCCCCTACCTCAACCAGAGCTCCTGTTCATGGTGCTGGTGGTGGGGTGGGTGTCATGCGGCGGAGTGATAGCTCACCATAGCAGCTATCCTTCCTCTCCCTGCATCCTCTCTCCCATCCCTCCCCCACCTCTTCCAGAGCCCATGTTCATGGTGCTGTTGTTGGTATGGGAGCCATGCGGCGCAGTGATGGCAACAGCCCTCTCTCTCAACCTCTGAATTCCGCCCTTCATTCGGAGGCATCACTCAATTTTACGTTTCCAATCTACCCGTCCGTCATAGGTGCATTTCGCCGTGGGGCGGGACCGGATGTGCCTAGAATGGCCAGACGATGCCATAGACTTCTACCCAATGCTCGAACAGCGCCTTCAGGTTTTGTATCAGGTTATCAGCGAGACGCACATAATTAAGCTGATGCAGCTGCGAGAGGCTATGGAAGACAAAAACATCGTCGACGGCTTCAAACGCGCTTGGACGTCATGGAAGAACGATCGTGGCTTCCACCTCAAGCGCAGAGTGCTTGTAACTTTCGGCAAGAAGGTGCAAGGCCTGCGTGTAGCCGATCTCTGGATGGGCACCAAGAAGAAGAAGATGTGGAGAAAATACCAACCGAGTGAGTACGCGCGTTTCTGTTTTACTTCACCATTCATTTCATCTGCTCGTGCACCCCTCGTGACGATGATGAACAACTTACCCTAATGCATCCCCACTGTGGCACGCAACTACATACCTGCTCTCCTTGCCCAGCCTTGTAGCGCATGTGCAGTCACATCCGCATGACAGCTTAACGTTGGTTCTTCTGCCACTCTCCCCTTCTCCCGCCCCCCCTTTAATCTACAGCTCTCCCCTTCCCTCCCGCCATCCCGTTCTCTCCCTCCCTCCATTTCTCTTCAGCCCTCCCCTTCTATCCCGCCCTCCATGTCTCTCCTGCCCTCCCCTTCTCTCCTGCCCTCCCCCTCTCCCCTGCCCTCCCCTTCTCTCCTGCCCTCCCCTTCTCTCCCGCCCTTCCCTGCTCTACTGCCCTCCAGCCAACCCTCCATTCATTCTATACCGCCCTCCACTTCGTCCATACCATTTGGACAACCCCTAACCATGTCGTGCATGATCTTCGTCCCCGCCTTGTCCTGCGTGCGCGCAGGAGGGAATCAGCGGGTCAGCTCGTGGGGAAACAGCAGAGACGGGCTCCCGTTTGCCAATGGCCGGTTTGTAGATGCGGTCCGGGAAGCATTTCGGAATCTCTGTGTCGGGCGCCGGGTGTGCGTCAAAGCCTACCACATTGCCTGGTCAATCATGGTGGTAAGGCATTGCTCTCCCGTCAGTTCGCTCTAGCTTTGCTTGCAAATCATGCCCGCCAGACTGGAATGTGGGGCTATTTGCGCAGCCCATGAACTCTACACGCGAGTGTCCACATATGTCTCTATTTCCCCTCTTTCCCATACTTTGCTACGCTTTTTCAGATTGACTAGGGCTTGGCAAAGGTTAAGAAGACCGACTGGAACGTCTCGAACTCCCACCGGAAGAACACCGAGTGGATGACGGGTTTGCACCGAAATGTGCGGTGGATTATCAAGGACCACTTCACACGCCACACCCCCGTGTACAACACAGTCGTGCAGGGCTTCAAGTGGGGCGACCGTGGCCTGTATGTTCACGAGTCAGGATTTGAGGCGTTCAAGGGGACGGCCGCGCCTGACGAGGAGAAGAAGGACTTGAAGGAGGAAGAGCAGGAGGTGTACGACGCGGAGGACTTGAAGACGGATGACGAGGAGGATGACGAGGATCAGGAGGAGGACGAGGAGGAGGAGGAGGAGGAGGAGGAGGAGGAGTAGGAGGAGGAGGAGGAGGAGGAGGATGAGGAGGAGGAGGAACAGTGGGGGCAGGAGCGGAGGAAGAGCAAAAGGCACAAGAGATGCAAAAGCAGGGGAGGCAAGAGGGATGAGCAAGAGGATGGGGAGGAGGAAGAGGAGGAGGATGTGAAACGGGGGGGGCGGGAGATTAGGAAGGGCAGAAGGCAGAAGAGAGGGAAACTCAGGGGAGGCAGGGGGGAAGAGGAAGAGGGTGGGGAGGAGGAGGAGGGGGAGCAGGAGGATGAAAATCATTGGGGGCAGGAGAGGAGGAAGGGCAGAAAGCACAAAAGAGGCAGAGGCAAGGGAAGCAGGAGGGAAGAGGAAGAGGAGGAAGAAGTGGAAGAGGAGGAAGAGGATGAGCATGAGGATGAGAAGGGGGGGGGCCAGGAGCGAAGGAGGGGCAAAAGACACAAGAGTGGCAAACGCCGGGGAGGCAAGAGGGTCAAGCGATGGGGCGACTAAACAAGGGGGGCAGCAGATGAGGCATGAGTGGAGTTTACAAGGGGGGGGCAGCAGGATAGGCATCACACACTTGCGAGGAGACATCAAAACGGAGGTAGAGGCATTGGTGGAGACAGGAAGGGGGGCAGCACGCCAGGCAAGAAAGCAGAGTCAGCATGGGGGGTAGCACGGGCGGCAAAAGCGTGGAGTCAGCAAGGGGGGAAGCAGTAGAGACAATGTGAGGAGTGTCCAAGGGTGGGCAACCAGTAAGGCAACCAGATAGTGCAAGAGGGTGCAGCACAAAAGGCATGAGTTGAGAGAGTTGGGGGGGCAGCAGAAAAGGCACGAGCAGATAGAGGGGAGTGCACAAGGGGGGCAGCAGGTTAGGCATGACTGGAGCAAGCAGCAGTAAAGGCATGACTGGGGAGCGCCAGGGGCGGAGCAGCAGACGCATGAGAGGGCAGAGCATGCAATGAAGCAGTGGACGCAGGGGCACGCTCGACCTAGAGCACCAGAGATGGGGTTCGGTGGAAGACATAGTGTACTGGAGCATGCTAAGCAGGTCGTAGGATGATGCAGCTCAACCTAACTGACTAGGCACAGAGGGTTTAGGATGCTGTTTTATGTGCGTTTTTAGGGTGGAATTATCAGCTTTTACCAAAGCTTCTGTACTGTTCATTTTGAATGCAAGATTGAGGCAACTTACCATAGTTTTAAATTACATATAAGGTCGTGCAAGTCTCCTACATAAGCTTATTTTAATGAACCCGAAATCCCATAAAGAGTACATTGCAATGAGATCCGATCTTCGAATTTGCTCTGCGGAAACTTGTACCAAACTTCTTACGAAGGTGTTCACCTGGCAGGTTTGAACAGAAAAGCATTGGAGAAGCATTTGAAAAGCGTTCGAGAAAGCATTTGGAAAGCAACCTATACTTTCTCAAAAAAGCGTTCGAAAAACGTCGTTTAAGAATCATTCGACAAACCTCCAAAGCAACTTTTTTCATCGGTTTTCCGGATGCAGGATTTTTGTGATGCGTTCAATCTTATCCTCACGTGTTGTCGCATACCCTCACCTTTTACAACCTATGCGTGTGTGTGTCAGTGTCCTGTCGTGTCTCGGTTTTGGACGTTCTGGTTGCATGTGATGGCCACACAGACTTAATCTTGCATTTTCTCTTACTGTACGCTGTCCTCAAGTTTTAGTAATGTTTCCTTTGAGTTGGATCGAATGCTGTCCCTTCATTTGACAGAACCAGCAACTGCACTCGCATGTTTCATGATGCCTACAGCTGATGTCCGCTTTTCCCCCTTGCTGTCCTGATTTCCTCGTATACAACTCTTCACCCCCAGCCCCCTGACCTCCAACCCTTCTCATTTCTATCCATGCTGCCATGCCCATCCATGTCTGCTGCCATGCACTGCACACCCATGTCTGTTGCCATTTACTGCACACCCATGTCTGCTGCCATGGGTAGGAAGTATGCCAAGTCCGTTATGGGGAAATTGGGCAAGGCTGTTGGGACTATCATGGCAAGAATAGCCGGAACACATGAGTTGGGTGAGGCGATGGAGATGAGAATGAGGGCGCTTGGCGTGCAGCTGGAAGAGACAAGGAGGGAGCTGGCAGCAGCGAAGGGGGAGTTTGTTGCAGTGAAAGATGAGACGGAGGTGGGTTTGAGGGCGCTTGGCGTGCAGCTGGAAGAGACGAGGAGGGAGTTGGAGGAGGCTGATGAGAGACGAGCTGCGGACTTGAGGGGGCTGAGAGAACCGGTGGAGGAGACTAGGAGGCAGGTGACAGCAGTCAAGGGAGAGTTGGCTGAACACAAGGGCTTAATCACGGGGCAAGCAGAGGAGGTGACAGCAATGAAGGGGGAGTTGGCTGAACACAAGGATTCAATGCAGGGGCATGCGGAGGACTTGGGGCTAGTCAAGGAGGAATTGGCAGCAGGCAAGATGGTGTTGGCTGCACACAATAACTCGTTGAAAGGAGAGGTTGTTGAGCAGACCAATCACATGCTCAATGTCGAAGTTGCCTTTGAGGAAGCGTTGGTCTCCCTTGTACGAGGCGACCGGGGAAGCACACGAGCGTTGGAGGTAAGTGCTGAATGTGGACTGTGGTTTCTTTTTGTGCTGTAGCTCGGTCTTTGTGTCTATGCTGCAAGGTTGCATTTCAGTTGGTCCATGCCTGCATGCAGAGATCTGCTGTAGCCTCATGTTTTTCTTGGTGTGGTGGGTTCCCTCCAGGCTGTGTCGTCAGCGCTCAGTGGGAAAACCAAACGACGCACGAGCCTGGAACTGAAAGGTCTTTCCAACCTGTCAGACCTGGCCCTTCGCGTTGTCTCCACAATGACCCACCTGAAAAAAATCTGGCTGGACCATTCCTCAGGCTTCAGTGCAGAGGGCATCAAGCACCTCTACAAGCTGCCAGAGTTGGAGTCGTTAGTTCTCAGAGGCACGTCCATCTTAGATGGTGCATTAAAAGGCATTGAAGGAGTGAGGAGCCTTGAGTGGCTGGTTCTCGACAGCACCCACGTCACAGATGCTGGCCTACTGTGCCTTACAGGGCTTTCCTCGCTCAAGCTCCTTGGCATTTACGGATGCAAGGGTGTCACATCGGCTGGCATGGAGCATGTGGGGAGGTTGACAAGCCTTGAGCAGCTGTGGGCGAGTGATACTGGAGTAAAGGACGATGGGCTGCACCACTTGACCTCCCTCACCAGGTTGAAGATCCTCTCTGTAGGAGATGGTATTACTGATGCTGGCATGGAGCACATTGGGCAGCTGACTAGCTTGGAAGCATTGCGGCTGTGGAGATGCACAGTTTCTCATGAAGCTGTGGTGAAGTGCTTGCAGCGCCTGCCCAGCTTTAAGAAATTTATGTCAACCATCAACGGCTTGGAGGCTCTTGTGAAGACAGCGCTTCCTGAAGTCACCGTGGGAGTCTTTCCTGAACCCAGCAGATGTTATATGCTTCTTGGCTCTCTCAATGCGAAAGAAAATATGCTGGAAGATGTTAGATTAGACCATTCATTGCATATGCTGCAGACCATCCGTTGTACTACCTCATCCGCCATTGACAGATATTTAGGCAATGATACCAGAATATATTTGCATTGTGGCAACGAGAAAACGATTACGAGCTGACTTCTCATCATGCGCATTGCCGAGCCAGCCACCTCGCTTAGCCTTTCTCACCCTTAATTTCCCCTTACTTCACCTTTCCTATCTCTTCTTTGCCTCAAATAAAACCTTAATTTCTGCCAAGCCCCCTTTCATTCTTCACAGGTGCTGGCACGCTCCACCGAAATATGTGCAGTTAACACACCCCAGTGGTTCGGCAACCGTGGTGGGTGGTATCGAGGGTGAAGCAGCAGGAGGAGCTGACCACCCTCCTGGGTGGCATATTACATCATGACTGGTGACATTGCAAGGCAACCCTTCCCACATATCCCCCACATTGTCATCACCCCTCCTGTTCCATTGTTCTTGTCCCTCCCATTTAGCATTCACCTGGTACGCGATACCATCAACTGCTGCCTGCCTCCCTCCTCTCTCTGAAGTACCCATTTACCTTTTGCGCCTCCCCTCGCTTGTCCACACCAACAGCAGCATTCATGAACCAGTCATGAGGTGCACAACTCATCGCTGCAACACGGAGCCAGGCAGTGTGGCAGGCAGAGCCATACATTACACGATAGTGGACGCACGGGGGCGACGATGGAGGTGGTAGTGGGAAGGGTGAGGCAGCAGCAGCCGTAATGTGGCATGACTCTGTGTGAGTGAGCGTTAGCTGTGATCATTGTACGCTGGTCACTCGGGGATTCTAAGAACCCCGTGAGAACTAGCACGTGCCATGAGCGTGTGGATGGCTTCTTAGCTGATGATAGGCAGGGCCACATGCAAACGTGGAGGTGAGGGAAGCGGAGAAGATGGTGTGATCTGAAGAAGGTCGACATAATACTGCTGAGCAAGAAAGAGGGAGTGGAACATAGCTGATGCGTGGGAATGTGCTCTAATGTCCAACTTGCCACCTGCAAGTGCTCGCCTGCACATCCATCCTCTCCCTTCCTGTCCCAACACCCCGCTCCTCATTGCCCCCTCCATCCCCCGTATCCTTTCAAATCACTCCCCCTTCCCTCCTCTGCTACTGCCACTCCCTGGGTGGCATATAAGATTATGCGTAACTTCCCTAATTCCTCCCCACCACCACCATTCCCCCTTTCTTCCCGACATTCCCCGCCACATTCTTTTCCTCCCTCTTTCCATGCACTTTCGTGCCATGCTACCCACCCTTCTCAACGTCCAGCCCATGCCAAAACACAGCGTGATTCCCCCATGCTGTGCACATGCCTTGCATTGGGCTCACGCCATCAGCCATGTCTAGGATGGCTGCAGTGGCTATGCCATGGACTCTTGCTCTCAGCTGGCCCACCTTATCCTCTACAGATCAGTACCAGGTACGTACTGTGGTCCTTCGGCATTTGGAGCATAAACTGACACATCACATGTATCAAGTAAGACTGTTGCTGCCTTGCGTTGATGACCCCAGCATGTATCTGACCCCATGCCTGCTTCCATTGATGTCTCCTTCTCCCTCTTGATGTGTCAACAGTGTGTTTGTGGGTCCGTGACCGCCTTCATTGCTGCCCTTACTTTCTTTCTTACCTCTTCCCCCTTCGCGTCCTCAACCCCTCTCCTTCTCCCACTCACACTCAGCTAATGTGTCTCGGTGCAGACAGTACTTTCGTGTGCTTATTAAAATGCCATTACTACCCTGCTTTCATACCCGTTCCCCTCCCGGCCTGTCCCTCCATCCCACCCTCTCTCCCTTCAACAGTTCATGCACGCCACTGCTAACTGTGTTGTTAGTGGGCATGTGGCACGACCTGCCAGAGACGCTGAGGCAGGAAGAGCAGCAGAGGCGACAAGCGACGCCACCAGCATGTGCATGTTCCTAGGGTGAGGGTACAAGACGCTACCAGCATGTGCATGTTCCTAGGGTGAGGGTACAAGACGCCACCAGCATGTGCATGTTCCTAGGGTAAGGGTACAAGACGCCACCAGCATGTGCATGTTCCTAGGGTAAGGGTACAAGACGCCACCAGCATGTGCATGTTGTTAGAATTAGGCTATCAACACTTTGTGTACTATATTCTATATCGCGTAGGTCATTTGCGGGTTGGGTGTGGTTTGTGATCCCAACCCTATCTGGATGGGATTCTCTCGTTATCCTGCAAATCTGCCAACTCACCAATTGGAGATTTGCTAGGATTCCCATCCTTTCCCTAGCCTTGCCCATCCCAACCTCGTTTGTACTTAAGGCCTAGTGCCTTCTTTCCTAATCAATCAGTTCACTTCCAATTCTTTCATGGTATCAGAGCTAGCAAATTCCGCTCACGCGGAATCCGATCCTTGGCGTCGCGATCATTCTCTTCCTCTCGGCTATGGCATTCTCGGTTCACGCCTTCTTCGCTTAACATTTTTCGTCTTCACATCGTCGCACTGGTCAAAAGCGCTTTCCCGCTCCGTCTACGTGCATTTCCGATTTCCACGGCGGCACATTTCTCCGTCCATTTCCTTCATTGTAAGCTCTGAAATTTCAAATTTCCGTGGCAATTTTCTCACATTCGAAACGTCCAGCAGGTTTTCATCGGTGCAACAGAGCAGGTTCAGCGGCGCAGCAGAGCAGGTTCAGCGGCGCAGCAGAGCAGGTTCAGCGGCGCAGCAGAGCAGGTTCAGCGGCGCAGCAGAGCAGGTTCAGCGGCGCAGCAGCACAGGTCAGCGGCGCAGCGGAACAGGTCATCGGCGCAACAGAAAAGGGGTCATCGGCGAAGCAGAGAAGCAGAACAGGAATCGCAACTTTATTGGCGAAATCGCACATTTCCGCATTTCGGACTTCATCAATTGACGTTTATATTGATGAGTCCCACCCATTCTACCCCTCCTCCAAGGCTTCCCCCACTCCTCCGCCTCCCTCTCTTACTTGGGCTGACTTTGACAATCTCCCTCTTCCCGACACCCCATCTCCTCCTCTTCCCGCTCCCTCCACCTTTTCTGATCCCCCTCGAGTACCACACAGTCTCCCTCGCTCCTTCCCTCCTCCGCTCCCCCTCCTCCCTCTCCTCTCGCACCTCCTCCTGCTCTCGCTCCCCCTACTCCCACCGAGCCCGTTCCTCTCAAGACCTACCACCACCGCCGCCCAGCTCCTCCTCCCCCTCCTCCTCCTCCTCCTGCTCCTACCCCTGATCCCGCTCCTGTTTCCTCTCTCCCTCCCGCTCCCACCTCACCTACCGCTACGCCTCCTCCAGCCCCGCCTCCCTCCCCCATCGCTTCTCGCACCCGCTCTCGCAAACCTCCACAACCGCTCTCCCTTTCCGTTCGCGTCTCTCTCAATCCTCCTTCTGTCAGGGGTGATTGTTCTCTCATGCCCTCCCTCCTTGAAGACAGACATGAGGAGTTGATTGATATCGACTCAGCCATCCACGTGATATGCTTCCTCTTTCCCGACATCGCAGACTCTCCCACCCTCAATTTCTCCGACAACCCCTCCATCCCCACACCTCTCACCTATGCTGAAGCAGTTTCTGGTCCTAACGCCGCTCAGTGGATAGGGGCCATTATCGCAGAGTGTGAGGCTTTTATTCACACAGGGACTTTCACAGGTATCATTTCTCCCTCCAGCGTCAACATTGTGAAGGGAAAATGGGCTTTCCAGGTGAAACAACTTCCAAGCGAATTTCCTGTCTTCAAAGCCCGGTACTGTGCCAATGGATTTACCCAAAAGCATGGACTGGATTTCTTTGAGACATTCTCTCCCACCGCCAAACCTCCCACCCTGCGCACCCTTCTCGACGTTGCTGCTCGAGATGACATGGAGGTTGACTGCATGGATGTGTCTTCTGTGTTCCTGCAAGGGATCCTTCGAGAGGAAATCTACATGGAGCGGCCCGAAGGATTTCCAGCTCCTTTTCCATCAGGCACTGTATGGAAGCTGAATCGGCCAGTGTATGGCCTCAAGCAAGCTCCCGGGGAATGGCACAAGAAGCTAAAGAGCACCTTAGGGTCCTTCGACTTTCACCCATCCACCTCTGACCCCAGCCTCTTCATCCGAGCAACACCATCCCGCTTCTTCATCC